AAAGAAAAGAAAAGAAAAGAAAAGAAAAGAAAAGAAAAGAAAAGAAACAATCTCTGCCCTCAAGTAGCTTACAATCTTATGGGGAAGGGCAGCACACAAAAGGAAGCTGAAAAGCAGTGGGAAGGGCACTAAGGAGTAGCGGGCATGGAGTAGAAGCCAAGCAGAACTGCTGATAGAAAATGGAACTACCAGGATGATTGTGAGCCTTCCATAAAGAAAGGCCAGGGCACGAGTTTAATGTTTCCCCTGCTCCAGCCCTCCAGTTAAAGGGGAGGCAGGAGGGCCATTAGAGAAGGTGGAGTCTTTCCTTATCTCCCCATCACAGAATCCATCTTCTTTTCAAGATTCACCACCTCCAGGAAGCTTTCCCTGATCACACTCAGTTCTTACTATTCTCTACCTTTTCAAATTATCTCTTATGTACTAATAGGTGTGTACACTTTATTCTTCTAATAGAAAATGCACTTTTGGAGGCTAGAGACTGTTGGGTTTGGGTTTGTTTGTTTGTTTGTTTGTTGCCTTCGCATCCTCAGTGCCTAGCATAGTATTTTGCATCTAGTAGGTGCTTGATAAATGTTGAATTGAGGAGCTGATGGATTGAAAGGAAAGACAGAGAAGGGTTAAAGATTCTGAGATCAAAATAAAGGCAAAAAGTAGGCAAAAGGTAAGGAAAGCAGTAGGAGATTGTGGTCAGAGAGCAGAACTTCAGAACTGTGAATTATAAGACAGTGAGGTCTGAGATGTAGTCATACCAATAAACATGATTGAGGCAGGGGAGAGAATAAAGTTGTTGAAGTTAAGGTAGTTAAGGGAACTTTGAGGTCAGGGAAGTAGAAGAGTCCTCCACACTTAAAGTGAGGAGGGAGAGAATTTCAGGAAAAGTTTGAGTCTGTAGAAAAGTTTATTTTCAATGGGGCTGGCCTTCTAAAGGTCACAGTGAAGGGGCTGAGGGAGCTGCAGAAGAGAGTACAGAAAGGATTGCAGAGGGCCTGAAGAGGAGGAAGGATGAGATTCCTGGAGGAAAAAGTAGACATGATGTAGCTTCCATCTGGAGTAGTAATGGTGGAAATTAGTTTTGGTGAACCAGCAGGTTGGTATGAAGAGTGGTAAGGGAAGGAGAGACACTCAAGCAGTTAGAATTTGAAACCTTCCCCCAGCCTCACAAAATGCTAATTGAAATGTTTGTGAGCTATAGTTAGGGATGTGCTGGTTTAACAACCAACTGTCCAAAAAATAAATAAATAAAAGTACTATGACACATTTTAAAACTTAATCTGCATTATTAACATTTTCTCTATCACTTTTAATTTTAATCTGCATGATTAATATTTTCTCCATAACTTTCTTAAGTGTAAATTGTCAACAAAACAAAAAAAGCAAGCCCTGATTTCTAACATGTGCCAATTTCCAAGGTATAAATGCTCACAATGAAAATTTCAGTCGGCTGGGCAATAGGAGCCAGCTCTCATACCCTCCTGGTTACCGCATTTCTACTTCCCATTTAAACTAAAATCCTGCTCATTCTAACCAGAAATCCCTTATCCCCCAGGGGTGGGGGTGCTGCAGACTATTTTCCTGAATGAGATGAGATCTTTGCTTACAGTGAAAAATGGTTGGTATTTGTCCAATTAGAAAGGATAAAGGAGGAAGTAACACTGGACAGTAAGAAAGAACAGTATGAACAAAGTCTTGGAGGCAGGAATAAATGCCATTTGTAGGGTTATTGGTTGAAGCAGATTTGAAACAAAACAAAATCAGTATAGATTTTGGATGTCTTTTATCTGATCACAGAAGCCACTAGGTTTTTCAGGAAACCCAAAGTTTAAATAAAACAATAAGTTGCTATAATGTTTATAAAACAAGTTCAAAAACTAGTATTGTCTATATTGGTTCCTCCTGTAGCACAGGAGCTTTGGTTAAAGATAGACATAATTTGTTTTACCTAGATAATTCTAGAATCATTTGAGGAAAGTTTAAAAAGATGCCTCATCTTTATTGTTCCCATTATACATAAATTGTTTTCTCAGTCATATTCCCTAGTTTCATTGTCACTCTCACGCCACGTTGTTTTGGCTTTTGTTGTTATTATTATTGCTGTTTGTATTACAGGCTTATCAAAGTTTATTAGTTTCTGTTCAGTACAAAGTAAACAAAGTTAGTGAGGCTACTGGAAAGCACATAGGTGATGTGGAAAGTTTAAAAAAAAGAGAGTGATTTCGTGCCTTTGTTTTTGTTGTTTTGCTTTGTTTTCCTTTAATAAAAATACTCACACACAAAACCAAACACTTCTACACGTAAGCAGTCTGCCTAATCTAAGGGACCTGGTCAGATAGGAAGGGGTGAAGAAGGGAAGGGAGAGGAGGGAGAAATGGAGCCTGACTCATGGTACACCTGAGATGTGGAGAAGCAGGAAGAAGGCTGGCACTCCTGAGGGCTCAGGACTGGTTTGACTGGACTCCAGATGATACGTTCTTTCTCATGGCCTCCTGCACCAGGTCACAGATGATCATGCCATGAGCACCTAGGAAAGCTCTTGAGTGCTCTGGGGATTCCAATATAGTTGTCCTAAATGGATGACTCAACTTCCTGAAGAAGGAGCTTGCCTACCAATGACCTGGATCAGATTTTGGAAGACCAGGATGGGGAAGGATTACTTCTCCACAATGCTCAGCATTTCCATAGGAGCTGTTACTGGAAGTGGAACCTAGATACTGTGACATCTAAAAAGTTCAAGAGATGTAGTTTTTGAGTAATTAGTCATTTTATTAATAATGCTAGCATTTTCTTAATAAAAGAGGTCAGTGGCATTCTCAAATGCCAAAGACCCTCAAAGTGGCAGGCTCACAGCTTATATGCCCTTGGAAAAGTGGGTGTTTCTAAGGGCAGCAATCAACTCTAATTGGTTAAGAGGTAATGAGAAAATGAATATTATATTAAGATGTTGTCTCATTCTAATGAAGGTCTTGGGGGTAGGTGACTTGGGTCAGTCAAGTCTTGGTCAAAGAGACATCAATTTCTGTATCCTCTGTCAGACAAAAGGGAGAATCCATATTTCTCCTAACCTGTCTGAGTAAACACAATGAACAGAAATCCATCTATTCTCCTAAACTTAGAATTTCTTTTACTCTCTTTGATTAGGTCTTAGCCTGGTTAAGTCTTTGCCCAAGATTTCCCATACTGGTTGATTTCAGGATGAGGAAGTAAAAAAGGGGAAAAACTTTGACCTTATTCAATAATTAAATACAAGAGAGAAATAATCATTTCTCTCAGTACCCTAGGTAGTACTTGTGGGTTGCTACAAGTGAACTGATGGACAAGATTGCTGCCATGTTGTTTTTTTATCTTGTGATGCTGTAAACCTTAGTGTTGGTCCTAAGCAGCCCTGGTTTGGGGGAAGGGAGTGCTAGGCCACAGAACCTAGGAGTCATAGGAGATCTCCAGAGAGTACTCCACAGTAGCAGAAAACAAAAACATTTTTTTTAGTTTTACATTGGTTTTTTATTATAACCCACATGGGTATTGTAACAACCCTGTGGTATTGGGTGTGTAGGTATTTTTTATCTCCAGTTTACAGATGAAGAAATAGAAGATGTAAACAGTTAATGATTTGTTCAGGATCAAATATTCGTTGTTATAGTAAAATCTATGACCAGATTCTCACTGATCTAGCATTCTAAATATATGAGGAGTATTCATTTAACCTCTGAATGCTTCAGTTTCCTCATCTGCAAACTAAGGGTAATAATATTTGCGTTATTTATATCACAGGGTTCTTGGAGAAAGTGCTTTGTGAATCTGAAAGCACAATCAACAGGGCATTGTGAGAAACACTAGGAGTAAGGCTATTCAGCTGCAAGGATAAACTTAACTTTAGATTCAAAGCAGCTTAAAAAAATGTATAAGTCACATGGACAGTTACATTCTAGCTCAACCTATTACTTGCTGTCACTTCAAGTTAGTCAGATGAGGCTGGAAAAGTACAACCTCATCCTAACAATTTTGCTCATGGGCAGAAATTTCCCTTTGTGAGCTGCTTTCTGAAAAAGGTGAAATGTATCAATTAAAAGAAGTACGATTAAATTCCCTCCCTCTTTTAATTTATTAATTTAATTCACAGGTTAATAGGTGTCATTCAGCTAGTAAACATTAAGTGCCTATCATGTGCCAGGCACTATTCTGAGCACTCGGGGTTTACAAAGAAAAGTAAAAGACATTCCCTTCTCTTAAAGAGTTGGAAATCTAATGAGAGAGGTACAAATCTCCTGGAACTGCCTTCACCTCCAGTTTCTCAATAGATGAGGTATGACCACAAAGTAAGGAGGTGGATTTCTATAACTGCAAAGTAAAATTGCCATCATTACTTTATAGTCATACCTGTTTTTTGTGTATTTGTATGTTTCTAGACAGTCTCTGCTTTTGACTACATTGTATTTCTAGAAACTGTCATAAAATGGGATATTTTTAGTAGATTATTTCCCTCATGGGGAAAAAGCCCAGATTGGGGATTGTTCAAGTAAACCAGGGGTCAGCAAACTATAGCCTACAAGCCAAATCTGGTCTGCTGCCTACTTAAAAATGTAAAAAACATTCTTAGCTTTCTGGTACAAAAACAAGTAGTGAGATGCATTTAACCAGTGGGCCAGAGTTTGCTGACCCCTGAAATAAATCATTGATATGACTAAATCTGTTATCCAAAAAAACCAAAACAAACAAACCAAAAAACCCACCACAACTAGAAACTTCTTCACCATGGTGGTATCCTGTCCAACGTTTTCTTGGCAAAGATACTGGAGTAGTTTGCCATTTCCTTCTCCAGCTCATTTTACAGATGTAAAGTGAGGAAAAGGAAGTGAGACAAATAGGGTTAAGTGACTTGCACAGCTAGTAAGTGTCTGAGGCCAGATTTGAACTCAGGAAGATGGTTCTTCCTAACTGCAGGCTCAGCGCTTTATCCATGGCACAATCTAGTTGCCTCCTATAAACTTCTACAGTGATTCAAAGTAGTAAAATTATTCTCTAATCCCTAGAGTTGGAACTGAAAAGGACCTTAGAGATACATAATCTGATCCCTCATTTTATGTATGAATAAACCAAGAGCCAAACACAAGTGAATACTTTGGTTTTAACAAACATTCATTAAACAACTTTTCCTTCTTGAATTTTGAAAAACTTCTGGGAGATTATTGAGTGGTCAGAGTTTACTTTAAAAATTATTCTGGGTAGTTTGAATTCATGTTTTTTGTTTTGATAGATTTCCCTTTATCAAGCAGAAACTCTTAAATTCATTAATGGAAAAGTACCTCATTAGAGCTGGTTGTCTCTTACCTATCTACATGTGGGATCTTAGGTAAATTGCTTAACTTCTTAGGGCTTTAGTTTCCTCATCTACCAATGATGATCTCTAAGCTGCTTGCCCTAAATGATACAATTGTAGGGAGTTAGAGAACAGGAATTTCTTGAATTAGTTGGTTTTGTTGATCTTTTCTTTTTTTCCTTTCCGGGTTCCTAATAGCACAAAAGGCAGACTTAAAAAGTACAAAAACTCTTAAAAGCCTAGGGAAGAGTGGATTATGTTTAAATGTGAACCCTATGACCTTTTCTTCCCACCATCCCTCTCCACTCCCCCAAACAAAACAAAGGAAATCCACTTCATTCTTCCTAAATTCTTTCTTCAGTTAAGGGTACAAACATTCTCTGAGTCAAGTTGGCTTGAAACCTTGAAATGATTGTCTTTTTTTTCTCTTTCTAGGCCCCACACCCAACTCTTACTGATTTCACTACTGCTTTGGCTCTGTTATCTTTCTCTCCTTTTCATTCCCACTGCCACCACTCTATTGGGAAAGGGCTCTGCATTAACAAAAATGTGTTTGCTGTTTTAGAAATTAGTGACATTCCAGGATGTGGCAGTGGACTTCACAGAGGAGGAGTGGAAGCAGTTAGATCATGCTCAGAAGGACCTGTACAGAGATGTGATGCTGGAAAACTATAGGAACCTGGTCTCTTTGGGTAAGGGGCAGTTTGCTTTGTGACTCAAAAATCATTCATCTTTATTTCAGCAACTTTTAAAAGAAGCATGGCCTCTGAAGTGTTTAGCTGAATTTGGGCTTGAATTATAGCTGTTAGAGTCTTAATCCCTTTTGTGCACACAGACAGAATATTCCTTCTTCCCTTTTCTAGGTTAACTGGTCTTAATTTGAGGAGTAAGAAAAGGGCACCTACATTGTGCCAAGCCTGAACTCAGAGCCTTCCTCATCTTCTAGAAATTCTAATGACCATGGGTTGAGCCTGGATTCTGTAATGGTTCTGTGTCCTCAAAATAAACACTCAAATCCCTTTGTTTTTTTTCTGTGAGCAGGCTATCAAATTTCCAAACCAGATGTGATATCTAAATTGCAACAAGGAGAAGAGCCCTGCATAGTGGAGAGAGAAATCCCAAGAGGCATCTGCCCAGGTGAGTGAAGGAGAATCAGTTTAATTGAAGTCAATGTAAGTAGTAGGCATGAAGGATTAAAATCTTGGAAATGTTTATCGGGTAGTTTTCCTCAAAGCTCCCAGACCTGTGGAAAAGATGGAAACCATTTGGTATAAACTGATAACTTGATTTCACTTCACAATACCATTGAATCTTAGAATTAGAAAGTCATCTTTTCCACTGACCACCCAATATATTCATCCCTTCTATAACATTCTTGATAGATGATTATCCAGCTTTTCCTTGAAGCAAATTCAGGGCTCAGAAAGAGGCAGCCCATTCTATTTTTTGGTAATCTCTGTTATAAAATTAGTTAAATTTAGATGAAGTATGTTCCTTCTACCCATTGGTTTTAGTTCTGCCCTCTACAACAAAGCAGAATAAATCTATTACTTACTCCACAGGACAAGCCTTCAAATATTTTAAGATAACTATCACTCACTCTCAGATAATCTTCCTATCACTGTCCTCTCATATACTTGTCCCTTTGTCACTTCTCTCCTGAACTATTGCAAAAAACTTCAGTTGGACTCCCTTCCAAAAGTTTCTCCCTTCTCCAAACCAGATTGTCATTGTTTGTTGTTCAACCTTTGTTCTCAGAGAAGACCAATGACATCACAAAGGTGAAGTCTTGACTTGCCAGTGAACTGGATTTAAGTGAGGCAGAGTTGCATAGTCATCAGCCTCACTCCCTCCTCCAGAGTCATTGGAATCCAGTGGCAAGACATAGTCAAGATGACTGGCGATGGCCCAGCCTTCTTCAGACCTTCCTCCATTTGGCTACCAAAGTGATTTTCCTAAAGCAAATGTCTGAACATATCTCTCCTCCCTACTCAGTAAACTCCAGTAACTCCTTATTGATTCTAGAAGCAAATAAACTCCTGTTTGACATTTAAAAGTCTTTTGTGAATTGGCCTTAATCTCCCATTCCAGCCTTACTATACGTTATTCTCCTTCCCACACTCTGGTCTGGCTATCAGTATAGCCTTCCTGTTGCTTCACACTGGCCTCATACATGATGCTGCATTTCCTTCCTCCTTGTCTCTGCACTGACATTCATTCCTTCTTCCCTCAACTGTGCTTTTTGCTCGCCTTTGCCCGTTAGGATCCTTTATTTCCTACAGGATTCAGGTCAAGCACCACTTTCTATGTGAAAGCTTTCCTGATTCACCTCAATTTCTAGTGGCCTTCCAAAATTACCTTGTATTTATTCTGTCTATACTTTTTAAGAATATGTTGTCCTCTCCAATAGAATGAATGTAAGCTCCTTGAGGCCAGAAATTTTCATATAGTATGTATTTATTAAAAATACATGTTGATCAGTTTCCTTGATGCTGTCCTTTAGGCATCCCTCCCTCATCCTCCTAGAGCTAACTCTTCTCCTATAGAAAGGTTGAAAGTTATAGATTTCCTTTCTGTTTATTCCAGTACTCTTTAGTCTTTCCTTATTTACAAGTCCTTCCATTTGTCTTGACTTTATGTTGAATTTTTCCTTTCCCTATGTCCAAGCTGTTAATAAATTCTGTCTTCCTGCTATCTCTCTAAGATATATCTAGCATTTGGCCTATACTCTCCACCATTACCACCATTCTAAGTAGAATCCCTAGTACCTCTTGACTTGATTAATACAACTTATAGCTGGTTTCCCTAATAACAGGCTCATTTCTCCCTTCCAAACCATCTTACATGCTGCCCTCAGAGAAATTTTCCTAAAACATTAGATTTGGATGCTGTAGTGCCTATGGGGAGAACAGAGATACAGTTGCTGCTGTGTCTATGAGATATCTTCCCAGTTCTTGCTGTTCTGAGGATGGCTGGGATGGGAAACTGACTACAGTTTTGTAAGGGGCATCAGGAAATAAGCAAATTGGTGGTGAGGTAGTGGTTGGAAGCTGGCCATAATTCAGATAAACAACTAGACAGAATCTGATTCTTGGTTCTCATTGCCTGTTCCATGCTATGTACAGAGATCACTAGAAACCAAGGTACAAGTTCTGACTGAGGTAGTATACCCATGAACACATACCCTCGCACATCATGATGAGATTCAAGGTGCATATCACTGCCAGTGCTATTCTCAGTCTTTCTCCTTCCTCTTTACTCATTCCTGGCTTTTATATAGGGTTACGTCTTCACCACAACTGATGACTCTCCTCTCATGTTCTAGCACTGACAGCACTTGGGCCTACTTTCTTTGAACTTCTAGACTACTTATAGTTTGCAATACCTAACATAGAATTTAATTATATATACCTACATATCGTTCTATAGTTGTTTCATGTTTGTTAGCCTGGTCTAGACAACATGTGCTTTAGGAAGTTCAGTTCATTACCTCTTGACTGGATTATTATAGTCACCTTCTAATTGGTCCACCTGCCTCTAGTTTCTCCCCTTTCTGATCCATATTTTACATAGCTGCCAAAGTAATAATCCTAGAGTATAGGGCTGATTCTGTTAGTCACTTGCTCAGGAAAGTGCTGGCAGCTCCCTATTGTCTCTAGTACCAAGCTCCCCTGTTTGGCCTTCATGACCCATCACAATATGGTTCCAGCCAATTTTTCCAGACTTAATACACATTTACCTTTTTGAGGAGCTATAACTAAACTGGGCCATCTGTAGTCCCTCATTCTACCTCCTGTCTTTGCACCTTTATACAGGCTATCCCCCCATGCCTAAAATGCACTGTCTTCTCACCTCTGCTACATAGTACCCCTAATTTCCTTTAAACCTCAGCTCACTTGATGGTCATGGGGACTTCACTGATGCCCCAGCTACTAGTGCCTACCTTCAAAGTTATCTCATGTTTTCCTTGCATTTACTTTGTATATGCACTACTTGTATGTGTATATGTTGTTCCTCACCCCATCCCCTCCCCCACCTCCCATAAGAATTAGGACATAGGCCTTGCCATTAAGGAACTTGAAGTATTAGGGGACATTACATTTGTACACAAAAAAACTATACTGTCCAGAGAAAAGGGAGATTGTCATGGCTCTTTGAAGGAGAATAATGTAAGTTTAATTTAGTGGTGTTAAGGATTTCAATAGGTGAAGAGGGCTAGCTGTTCTAAGTAGGGAGAATACTTGATCAGAGATTTAGAATTAAGAGTAATGTGGTTCCTGATAATGTTGGGGCAGCTAGATGGAGCAGTGGATAGAGCACCAGCCCTGGAGTCAGGAGGATCTGAGTTCAAATACAGCCTCAGGCCAAACACTTGACACTTACTAGCTGTGTGACCCTGGGCAAGTCACTTAACCCCAACTGCCTAAAAATAATAATAATAATAATAATAATAATAATAATGTGGGAAATAGGAGATGTGGGGGTACATGTCAAGGAATAATGGATTTTAAATATGCAGGGTAGATTATGGCTAGATTATGGAGGACTTTATGAGGTTAAGGATTATGGTAAATCATTACAGATTTTTCAGCAGAGAAGGAGCATCACATTAGGGTGTGGTTAACAACAGGGCAGTAATGGGTCAGATAGCATCCCGGACTGGGAGGAAACTAGGCTATGGGGACCAGCATGTAGGGTTTCAAAACCATCATGTTTGCCAAATGTCAGAAGTAAGCCAAAGGTATGTGAACCAGGAAATAAAAAATTCAGGAAGTTTGGTCTGACAAGGTAGGTCCTGGTAGTCAGGGCAGATAAGAATCTACATTCCAGGGAGAACAGTACAGAATGAGCCAGGTCCTATGTGAAGGATTTTTTGCCGTTCCCTTTATATGTCCCATTGAATGTGACCAGCTTTGGTACTGCAGATTTATAAAGTTTGTGATTGTGTGGTTACTATGGCTCCTTGTAGCTCCTAACACAGTGCCTGGCACATATTAAATGTTTAATAAATGCTTTTGCCTTACTAGTGTGCTCTGATTATGTCCATATTAGGTGTAGGAGAGTTGATTATGGAGGATTATTTTGGTACTGTTAGGCAACATCAATTGGTGGAGGCAACAAATTGGAGGTAGGGGGACATATTAGACTCTTTATACAATTACATATGGATAGAGCACCAGGCCTGGAGTCAGGAGAACCTGACTTCAAATCCAACCTCAGAGCAGACACTAGACACTTATTAGCTGTGTGACCCTGGGCAAGTCACTTAACCCCAACTGCCTCACCAAAAATAAATAAATAAATAAAAATAAATTAAAAACCCTAGCTCTTCTTTACAAGTATAACTATATAGACTCACCTCCCCATTGTACATTTGTACAAATGATTTTTATAGGGTCAGCTAGGTGGTGCAGTAGATAAAACACCAGGCTTGGAGTCAGGAAGACCTGAGTTCAAATCCGGCCTCCGATACTTGACACTAGCTGTGTGACCCTAGGCAAGTCACTTAACCCCAATTGCTCACCACAAAAAAAATTAATACAATTACATAAATATGAAATAAGAACTTATACTTTGTTCCCAGACTGCCTCCTCTAATCCTAACTCATCTTCTACCATTTACCTTTAGCCATATCCATTCTGCTTAACCTATTTTTCTTATCACCACTCTTACCTTACAGGCTGCTTTGTTCTGCTCACTTTGTATGTTGGATCAGCTCCCTTACAGTCACTCCCATTCCCCAGTTGATCTTCCTTTCCCATTCCTAGTCTCACTTTATGTGGACATATTTGAGAGCTGTCAACTCCAAACACCTGGTACTTATAATTATCAGTTTCATTCTTCTATGACCACCTTAATATGTTTCAGTTCCTTCAGGAGATGAGACAATGAACATTTACTTTTTATTTTTTTATTTCAGACTGGAAGACTAATCCTGGAATCAAGAAGTCAACTATAAAGCAGGAAGAAGAATTAACCCAGGAAGCAATGATGGAAAGATTCACAAGAGATGGTCTTTGGTATTCCAAGTTAGGAAAACCCTTTGAATGGGATAATCAGTTAGGGTGGCATAAGGGAATCCAGGAGAAACAATTGAGGCAGGTGACCATCAGCCACAAGAAAGCTTTCACTGGGAAGATAGGCCCTGAATGTAATGAATTTGGAATCAGCTTTAGTCTGAGTTCAATCCTTATTACAAAACAGAGAGTTCATATGAGAGACCATAAACTTCATAAAGATGGAAAGATCTTCAAACATAATTTAGATCCAATTAAATATCAGAGAATATATGCAGGGAAGAAGCAACCCTATAAATGTAATGAATGTGAGAAAGCTTTTAGTCAACATGAGCAACTTATTCAGCATCAGAAAATTCATGTTGTGGAGAAACCATATGAATGTAATGAATGTGGGAAAGTCTTCAGCCGGAGTACAAACCTTGTTCAACATCAGAGAATTCATACTGGAGAGAAACCATATGGATGTAATCAATGTGGCAAAGCTTTCAGCCAGCGTGCACACCTTCTTCAGCATCACAGTACTCACACTGGGGAGAAACCTTATGAATGTGTTGTATGTGGGAAAACCTTCAGTCAGAATACACATCTTAGTCAGCATCGGAGAATACATACTGGAGAGAAACCCTATGACTGTAATGAGTGTGGGAAAGCCTTCCGTCATCTTTCTTCCCTTACTCAGCATCAGAGAATTCATACAGGAGAGAAGCCTTATAATTGTAATCAATGTGAGAAAACTTTTAGGCGATGTACAGAGCTTACTCAACATCTTAGAATTCATTCTGGAAATAAGCCCTATGAATGCATTGAATGTGGGAAAGCCTTTAGCCGGAGTACACACCTTAATCAACACCAGAGAGTTCATACTGGAGAGAAACCCTATGAATGTAATGAATGTGGGAGAACCTTCAGCAGTAGGTCATCCATTGCTCAGCATCAGAGAATTCATACTGGAGAGAAACCCTATGAATGCAATGAGTGTGGGAAATCATTCACCCGAAGTACAATACTTGTACAACACCAAAGAATTCATTCTGGAGAGAAACCATATAAATGTAAGCAATGTGGGAAATCATTCACTGACAAGTCATCAATTTTTCAGCACCAAAAAGTGCATGCTAGAGAGAAGCCCTATGAATGTCATGAATGTGGGAAATGCTTCAGTCAGATTTCATACCTTATTCAACACCAGAGAATTCATACAGGAGAGAAACCCTATGAATGTAATTATTGTGGAAAAGCCTTTGGCAATAGATCATCCATTATTCAACATCAAAGAATTCACACTGGAGAAAAGCCTTATGAATGTAGTGAATGTGGAAAATGCTTTAATCAGATTTCATACCTTACTCAACATCAGAGAATTCACACTGGAGAAAAACCTTATAAATGTAATGAATGTGGGAAAGCCTTCAGGTGGAGTACACACCTTACTCGCCATCAAAAAACTCATGTAGAAGGGAAACTTCATAAATATAATTAACAAGTATTCATTAAGCACCTACTTAAATGGCAATTTTATGTTTGTGGGAAGATACAACTATTAAATAAGACATGGTTCTTGCTCTGGAAGAGCTCACAGTCTAAAAGGGGATGATAAGAGGTCTAAATGGACAAACATAAATTAGAATGTGATAAATATCTATCATGCTTTGGTCTAGGAGGCCAGGGCAATAGGAGTATTAGGATATTGGTGGGCAGTACTCATTCAGGAAGGATAATCCTTAGGGGCAGCTCACCGATGATGGGGTGAGAAAAATCAGAAATTGTGAATCAGATTGGCTCTACCTGTGTAAACAGAACCAAACTGTGAAACAAGTACCAGGTGAGTAGATGTCACTGATAACTGGAAGGTAGAGATAAGAATTGCATATTAAAGCAAGCAGAAACATGAGGCATTAATGGTGGACCTGGTGAGCCTGACAATGTGGTTTTATGAGGTATGTGCATCCCAGTTTGGCAACTGCTGAAGAGTAGAGTCTCCTCCCCTGTTTATATCAAACTTTGGGGAATGTTGTCTTCCAACTGCAGCTTCCAAAAGGATTCCAGATATTTTCTTCTAAACAGATTACAAATATCTTGTTCCAAACTACTGAAAATGACGTTATCAATTTTGGCAACATATGTGTAGGACCCTATACGTGTTCGTCTTTGACTCTATTCATCTGTTCAGCTAAGTTCCAGTGCTTACATTGAGAAAGGAGATGAAATATTATTATACTACATATATTGTAGAGGGAACTCTTAGGCAGGAGAAGCCTTTTTGACCATTGGGGTTGAAGTTACTCGGGGGTCTAGTGTTTTGACAGCTATTTGTGTCCTTCACAAAGAAGGTTTGAAAATACCTCCAGCTCCAACCCTAAATGATAGTGCTGCTGGCCACGCAGCCAGGGGAGCCAGAGCTGCATTAAAAGCGCATGGTTGTCACTTATACATTGTGTTCATTGCAAAAGACCTTGAATATTCTTGGGCAGTTAAAAAAAAAAAAGAGCCCTTGAGATGGTTTGAAAACTGAAGAAATATTTTCAAGAGCAAAACGATTGTGCTTCTGCAAAGGAAACTTACAAAGAACTTGGCTTTGGTGTGCATGCCTTGCTGCCTGGGACCTGTCTTGCTGATTCAAAACTTCTTGGGCTTACACAATAGAAGCAGACTAATGTGGGTCTTTCTGCTGATATCACAAAAGCGACAGAGCTGTTGCAGGAACAGCCTTCAAGATGCCAGCGAGACTTGTGTAAAATGATTTTACTCTAGAGATTATGGAGGAATCCAAAGCTCAGCAGAACTCCTTGAGTTCATTAACATTTGAAAACTCAAAACATGTAGGCGTAGGAAACTGATAAAGCAGTGTGAAATAGTGGGGTTTTTTTTTGTTTGTTTTTTGGTGAGGCAAATCGGGGGTTGCCCAGGGTCACACAGCTAGTAAGTGTTATGTGTCTGAAGCTGGATTTGAACTCAGGGCCTCCTGATTCCAAGGCCAGAACTCTATTCACTGTACCACCTAGCTGCCCCTTGTGAAATAGTGTTTTTAAAGTAGCTTCCTGGGCTGACCCGGGAAATGCCCATGTAGGATCAGGCTTGGGAGTGAGGAAGAGCTTGAGAGAAAAAGTGCTAGCATTTCACTGGAGTTGCTTTCTGATTTCCAAGATGAACTCCTCTTGATTATTTGCAACTAAAGCAAAGATGAAAGAAGATGAGTATTTTTTTAAGATGAAGTTTATTTAGAGTTCGTAAATTATTTTATTTTTCGTTCAAAAGTAAGCAGGAAACCAGAATTTGTTCATTTGACTCTAGGGATCAAAGCACAAACTGAAGGGACTGTTCCTAGCCAACAAATGCATACATTGCTGATTTGGAATCAGGATGTCCTGGATTCAAATTCCACTTGTGATGCTTACAGCCTTTGTGACTCTGGACAAGTCATTTTAACCTCTGTAAGCCTGTTTCCTCATCTTTAAAGTTGAGAGTGGGGGGTTTGGGACCAGATGGCTTCTAACGTCCTTTCTAGCTCTAAATCTATGTTCCTGTAACCCCATGTCATATCCCACAAGAAATTATAGGCAACTGAGTTTCTGGTAATTGCCATTGTGGGTTGAGCTATAACAGTAGTTTTCCAGAAGGAGCTGACATGTATAGAAAATGTGCCTGGGAAGTCCACTTGTCTGGCCATGGTGTTTTATCTTTCAGATTTAAGGTCTTCATGGTATATCTCCTGAAATTGACCTTTCCTGAGAAAATAGCTATCTCTAACCCCACTCAAGTTTAAGAGACTGGAAAAACATCCAGGTACTTGAGTATTTGAATAATGGTTTGGAATCATTTTATTTCAGTTAATGCTGTATAAAATTAAAATAAAATCTAGTTGGCTAGGTCATACAGCTAGCTAATAATCAAGCCTGAGAGCTAAATCAGATGAAAAATTAGAGTTCTGTAGTCTAAAGTAGGGTTCAGGGATTCTTGTGCGAGAGAAATGGGGTTAAGGTGGAGACTATGAGGTTTAGTGGTAACCAACACTTTTTTTGATTTAGCCTCTGACCATTTGTATTTATGCTGGGAAAAAAGGACATTGCCATGCCTTGCCGTCATCCCTTAATCTGTTGTGGTTATGCTGCTTTTAAGTTCCAATAAGTGTCTAAAAAAGAAGGAAAAAGTTCTGTGATATCAATTGAGGGAGAGAGAATCTCCAGCCAAGGTAATCAAGGAATACTCCATGGAGACAAGGCAGCATATGAGCTGGACCTTAAAGGATATATAGGATATTAATAGGTGGAGATGATGATGGAGAGTGTCCAACTTCAAGAAACATTGAAGTACTTATTATATGCAGGGTACTCATTGCTAAGTTATGGGAGAGCTCCAAAGGTTTAAGTAAACCAAATCCTCTGCCCCAAAGAGGCTCACAGTTTAGTAGGAATAACATGATCAAAGTCAGATACAGAAAAGTGTAGGGTGGTTTTAGGGATAGTGAGTCATTCAGTTTAACTGGAGCACGGTATATGAAACGATAGAAAGGTAGCTTGAATGAGATTACAAAGGGCTTTGAATGCCAGGCTAAGGAGTTTGGACTTATTTTGTAGGAAAAGTGGAACTCTTGAAAGATTTTAAAGTGATGGAGTGATATAATCTGACCTATGGATTGGAAAGATTAATCTGGCAGTTGTGTGTAGGAGGGGTTGAAGTAAGGAGAGACTAGAGACCATTGTAGGGATCTAGATAAGTTGTAATTGAGGGTCTGAAGTAGTAGTAATACAGATAGGACATGGTGGTTGATTGAATGTGTGAGACAAGGGAGGAATCTGTTAACACTTAATAAAATGGTGGTGCTAGTGACAAGTTAAATGTGATTTAGTTCTCAGAAGCTTTTAGGACCCAAACTAGTGGCACCTTCTAGATTTACCCTGTTCTGACCGGGCAACCTGCAATATCTTTCATGCTCCCACAGCCTGATATCCATAACCTCCCTTACCATATAGTCCCCAGTGGAGTGCACAGGATTTTCCCCTGCCATGCTACTGCCATAAGAGTATAAGCTCTAATCCTCATCCTTTAGGCTTACATCCTGTTCTTACTTATTGCAGATTCCTGCCTTGGATCCCAACTTTATTCCTAGATGGTTCTCTCTGTTATACTTTGGCCTACAGTAAGACCATATCTTAACTTAATCTTTTCATACTGCCATTAACTAATATAGTTAAAATTTGGGAAAATGTTTAGGTTAAGTTCAGGCTTCATCGTGCATTGGAGATTTCAGTGAAGAGTAGCCAAAGAAATGAATGGATTGTAATACTTCCTGGTGGAAGCTGTCCACCTCTGGGCTTAGTTGGTCACTGATAAGGAAAAAAGAGATTGACTCTAGCTGCATTTGGAAGGTGCTTCTTAACTTTTGACTGATTCCTGATGCCAGAAAGATTTTCTGACCTGTGCCGGTCGCGCCGTGCACTCTCCTTCTAACAGGAGCAGGCTGCCAGGGTGATACTTACCAGTCTTCGGAGCCCACCCGGATAAACATAGAGACAAGCCGATCGGGAGGTGCAAGCACTCGAATTTTATTCAGAGGCCATCACAGCAAGGCCAAGCAGGAAAGCAAGAGCAAGAGCAAGAGAGAGTGAGCTCCGACCCCTACCGCCCCTATATGCCTTTCTAGCCCCTCCTCCTCAGCCCACCTACCAGTGAATGATTGTAGGATCAGATACCGGAAGGGGATGTCTGGGGTTAGCACTGCACCAAGGGAGAGTACGTGACACAGGAAGCTAGGCCCGGATACAGGAAGGAGATGTCTGGGGTTAGTGCTGCACTTAGGGAGAGGACTAGACAAAGGGAGCTCGTTCTCTGCCGTCCCACTCCCACGTGGCACAGCCCCCTGCCTCAGGAGCACATGCTCCGGCTACTTCACCGTATCCTGTTCCTACCCCAGTTCACCACAACTCCACATGGCACAGCCTCCTGCCTCGGGAGCGTGAGCTCCGGTTACTTCCCCGTATCCTGTTCCTACCCCAGTTCACCACAACTCCACATGGCACAGCCCCCTGCCTTGGGAGCGTGAGCTCCGGTTACTTCCTAATATCTTGTCCCTGCCCCATCTTGCCACAACCCCCACGTGGCATGTAGCCAACATCAGACAATCCCTCACACTGACCAATTAGAGTTGTCTGGGTTTCTTGACTGGAACTGGTAGCAACTCAAGCTCTATCCCCATGAATTTCCAAATGAAGGAACCAGAATTTACCTGACAGTTTCTCATTTGTTGAAGCTTTTCCTACAATGGCAGCACCATTGTTAATAGACGTGAGCTCTTTATCGAATGACTGAATGTTTTGTCACTGGACTTAGAAATATTTGGAGTGTGGTCCATGCAAAACTTTCAACATATTTAGGTCCCAAGATAAGACTCAGCACTTCACTAATGGCTTGCCATGTGCAATCTGTTCTAGGCCAAGGACCTCATCAGGAATTCTGAAGGGTTGTTAGCAACTTCTTGCACTCTATGACCTTGGTTCTTGACTTTAGACTTAATTATAGAACTATTATCATCCGAGGGTGAGCGCAGCATTCTGGTAGTGGTAGATGCTTTGACTAAAATAGCAGGTTTCCATTGCTTCAGAACCAGAGCAAATAGTCTTTCAGGAAATCATTTCATCTTCACAACCTGCTCATCTACATCATTTTGTTTTGTTTTGTTTTTAATCATGGACCATAATCCATTTAAAAACATTATGGATTGTAGACAATTCTTTTCTCTACCCTGCATCTCAAACTTCATCATTCCACCAAATAGCACTCTCTCCCCTCCACTCTGGACTAACAACCAGATGGAGAAAACCAACTTTACCTTGGAGCAGATCTCCAGTATTATCATTAGACCAACTGGCCCTTCTTAGTAGCTATTGCTAAAATATGTTTCATCAGTTCTATTCATCTTTCTATTGAGAACACACCATTTTCCTGCACTGAAGGTTCCACTCAATTATTTTCCTCATATTTGACTTATACCACTATTTCAGTAGTCAAAAACTGCTTGGATAAGTTGGAAGCTATCTTGTTATACTTGCAAAATCTCCTAGAGACTGCTCAAACAACTTATAAACGGGTTATTGACCACCTGACCCTCAGTGCTCCCCTGCAGATTGGCTGGGCTATCTCCCAGAGGCTCTCATATTATCTGACCCACTCAGAATCTGGATGTCAAGAATACTGCACCTTTCCCAATAATTTAAGTAGTGACTCTGGTGGCCTTCCAGGTAAAGTTTCCTGATGCCACATGGATCTGCCTGTTCTTCTATCAGTCACTGCTTCTTAAGGTCCAATATCTCTACCCCTTAAAACTTCATGCTCATACTAGCATGTATTTTTCACCTCTGGCATCCACATAATCCTTTATTTTGTGGCCCATGGGTGTGTGATAGGAGGACCTTCTACCAGCACATGTAGAAAGGATGGCCAGAAACATGGGAATCTATACCCCCAAAAAAGCCTATTAGACAAATCCTTCAT